TTGAGTGTTATCACAGTGTGACTATTTAGGTATAACTGAAAATCAATCATGTTATTCAACTTGCTAAATCAATGATCTTTTTAAAATTATTGTCAATGATCTCAGTATAAAAGCATTTTACACAGTCGTAATCATCTGAAGACAAATAAAATGCAAAAATAGTTCTTATATATATTATTATATGATATATACATTATGGAAAAGTTTACTCTTTCTTGAGTTCATACCTCATTTCACTCCTACTTGCATGAGTAACAATGCTCTTCTATTTTTATTGCTCAACACTTCGCCAGTTTCTGAATTAACCTATTGTGCGTTGTCAATACCTTGTACAGATGACCAATAATAAGATCTTTCATTTTTTTTGTTATGAATTTTTTTTTTAATGAGACATAAAACAAACTTGGGAACATTATAGATATCGACTAGTAGGTATAGATATAACCCTAGAAAAATTAGTCGAGGAAGATTAAGACAAATAGAGGAATAATTTCTACATGTGAGACCAAATGACTACCAAATTCGATATTCTTGGAGGAGCAGGTTGTCGTGGGCTTAATTAGATTACAAAAATAATTTAATATTATCTGCAAAAATTAGAAGCTGACACTGACTTTTTTGATGCCGTTAACAAACAATGCAATAAGATAAGACAGGTGTCCCCTCTAGAACACATCGGGCGGAATGTCAACAACTTCAGATTTTACGATATGCAGTTGGACGAATTGTTTCCTATCCATGAGATAAGATGAAAACCAAGTAATCATAGGATCACCCACGCCAGATTTTCGAAAGAACTTTATCAAATCGACACGACTAATAAGATCAAAGTCCTAAAATATAAAATATAAAACTAATAAAGTTTTATAATAGCTGATGCAATATCGGTAGAGCAGTGGTTTTCAAATTAGGTGCCGCGAGTATCCGCTAAGTGTGCAGCGGTTTTTCCATAAATTACGGATTGCATTGAATTGTTCATCTAAAATAAAGGTCAGTGTGCCGTGAACATTTTTTGAAGTGTACGGTGTGCTATGTATAATAAAAGTTTGAAAACTACTGCTTTAGAGATTAAAAATATTATAATTTGTAAGAAGCATTTAAAAATATTTATATTAATCATAAAAAAATGTCAAGGTTTTTTTTTACTTTTCGTGTGTATTTTTTTTTGATATTTTCTATAAATAAGGAACAATAGTACCTAGATAATTTTTTTTTTAAATAAGCGGGCAAGTGGATATCTCTCTGCTGTACAGTAGGTTACAAGTGAGTCACTGTAATGGATGGTGTTAAATTTGAATTCAATGATATAAATTTGAAATTCAGATGCTTATAAAAAAATATTGTGCATTTACTCTCAACTTTTTTTTTAATTTTCACTAACAGCAACTTACGAGGAACCGGGTATTACCGTTTCAAGTTTTTTGACCGAGCGAAAATGTTTATATAAACATTAATTTTTATACATAAAAAATCATTCGAGTTTAATAATACTGAGTAATTTAGTATATTTGCTAATATTATTGTGGTTAAACTGTTGAAATAATTTATTTTATTACTAAACATTAGTACAACAGACTAAATTCATTTTTGCCAAAAAAATGTATTTTAAAAGTCATTGTGTGTATAAAATATAACAGTAAACTCTTAAAAGTTTAAAGTAGTTACCCAAGAATAATATTTTTAAATTAAAACGAAATAACACAGAAATCATTATTCTTGGTCATTTAAAAATATGTAATTTCGTCTAAATATGAACATAAAATAATATGATAAGAAACTTTTATATATCTTTTAGATTTTTTGTAGGCAAAATAAACTACTTGTGTGCAACTTTGTTTTTAATTTTTGATCCTGAGCTATGAAAGTTGAATATTTTATAAATATTTAACTACAAAATAATTTGTGAAAATTTGAACTTTAAATGCTTATAAGATAAAATCATACCGAGGTATTATCATTTCATTTTTAACCGATATTGTAAATATATATTAGAAGTTTTTTTATTAAATTTTCACACTTTTTGACAAAACAAATATAATTTTATTGATATTTAACTAAGAAAATTGATGGTTGAAAAATGTCTGTAAATAGCCCAAAACGAATTAAAATATTTTAAAAATTGTATCAAGAATATGAACGGATAAAATAAACATATTGTGTAAATTAAAATAAGAGTAAATATCCAGCGTTGTAAAAATTTCAACTTCAAATGATCATAAAAATTTAATTTGATTTTTCGGTAGAAGTTTTTTTATTGATAAAGGTAGACTAACTTATAAGGAATCTTGCAATACATTTTAAAATCTTAAATATAAAAATAACATTTTCTTAATAATTTTTTTGTAAATTTCTAACTTAAGATACTTTGCAACATTTTGATGATATTGACGAATCTTGTTAAAATCCTAACTTCAAACGCTCATAAAAAATTATTGTTGGTTTACACCCCTATTTTTTTAAAAACATCAACTAACGAGAATCTTTGTTTTACATTTTCATGTTTTTTGAAAGAGCGAACAATTTTTTATCTACATTAATTTAATAAAAACTAATAATAATCGATCATTTAAAATGCCTATAAATAGTTCAATACAAGTCAAAATATTTTGAAAATTGTATGGTAAATAGAAAACACGGATATCAATATTCAGTGAAGATTTCATGTATCTGCGGTATATTTTTTCTAGAGTTACATCAAAAACCAAAATCAATTTTGTCAAAAACTCCTCTAGGTTTTTCCTTAATTTTTGTTTGTTCTTCTTGCCACTTTTGAAAACTATTATAACTATCATATTTTTTTTACTTTTGATCCTCCAAAGTACCAACTAGATTCACTTTTCTACCAGAAATAGATGTTGAAGAAAATCGAAGTACTTTTACTGCCCCAAAAGGTGATGACAGAGAAAAAAAAACACACGTATCATTGTAAAATCAATACGTTCATCACTATCCGCTCAGAGTCTAAAATATATTAAAATAATATGATAATATAATAATGTATAGTCACGTTTTTTATTGCACAGTTTCGTGAAAGTATAACTTGTTGACATAAATAGTTTTGTTCATGAAGACGATTCGCTTCATGTGAACACAATATAATATTATGTATCACAATTATAAATTAAGTAGGTAGTTAAATATTATAATAATTAATATTTATATATTTGAATAAAAATAAAATACTTTTTATGTAACATATATATAATAAATGTAAAGTATTCAAATAACTTTACTTTAGAATATTAATGTAAAACTTTGGCTCCTTTTTATTGCATTGATTTTTTTTCTGAGACAACAGTATTGTTTACATGCTTCTGTGAACTGTAAGTTGTGACCATATAGCAGAATTATATACAAATGAAAAAGTATAAAATAATCATTCTTAAAGTGGTTTTTGTACTCTAACTATCATTATCATAATTCTTAGTATCTCAGATTGTATTAAGATGTTATGGTTCTATTTATAAATAACAAATTTTAATTTTAAAATTTTTACAATCATTACAATCATTACATCATTATAAAATCAATACCTTCATTGCTCCGATTAGAATCTAAAAGCAAACAGTAGACATGTATGTTGCAATGTTGTTTGATGGTAATAGTCTATCATTATTCATAGGCCTACAAATTCGAGAGTTGCAAATTTTGTTAAACTGTTACACACTATAGGTATACGACTGGTTTTGAGAACAGACCATTTCACATTTTGCCTGTAATTTCAACAATGAAATTAAATCTTGAGTAAAATAGTACCCTATGGCCCCAAGTTGTCCATAAAATAGTTATCCACAGGATCTGAAGTGTATGTTCTAGATGGTTCATATCTATATTAACTATACTAATATTAGTTATCATGTTATAGTTGAATAAGCATTAGTTTAAGAAATTACCGTTTTTCCCGAGACATGTTATTATCGTAATGACTATTGAATGTATAATAAAATATTTTTTCGAAAGAAGGACTATACTATTGTAATTCAAATAATAAAATGTGTATAGAACATAGGCATTAATAATTATATTATTGCTTGTTAGACTGTGAAGATAATATTAAGAAAATATTTTTTTTCGGATTTAAAACACAGTACCTAATTTATCATTCATATTTTGTGTAGGTGTCCATACTAAAATTACATATAATATACAAGTTATGAATTATTACACACCTAATATTTTTTTTTGAGTTCCATATTAAAAATAATTATAATAATCATAAAAACTTGTACAAAAATGTATTATAAGGAATATAATTAAATATGCTTAAACATTTCAATGATAATCGTAGCGATTATTACAATGCTTTTTATTTATATTTTTATAATCCAAATTTAGTAAGCTTGTAACAAAGACTATTAATTATAAATAATAATAGTAATAAAAAAAATAATAATAATAAAGTAATAAATTTAAATTAAAAAAAAAAATACATTATTCAATATTCATATAATGTTTTTCAACAATTATATGGCTTTTATTTTCCTTACATTCTACATAATATTAAAAATAAATGGATGGGTACTTCAATATAACATTACGATGAAAATATTGAAAACATTTATAATTAGGTACCTAGGTAGTTATTAAAATATTTAGTTAATTTGTTTGAATGTACACGTCAATTTTGATGATGTTATAACAAATTGTGTAAACGTAAATTTTTATTTTCCTTCATCATTGTTAAATATTGTTAAATTATGAAAATTAAGTTAAATTAGTTAATTTATAAAAACTAATAACGTATTACAAGTCACAAACAAAAATGTAAATGTATTATACTTTTTTTAAAAATGTATTGTTTCATAATTTCTTTTCTTTTAATAGCTAAAATGCATATTATTGATAAAGAATAATGATAGATTCATGAACTCTACATGCATAAAACTCATCAAAATAAGTTAATACCTTAATATTAATAAAACGAAATGATTAAATATAATTGTATAGCTTTACATATTATTTAAAGTTTGTATATTTTACTTGACATTGTTATGTTCTAGGAAATTTCTGTCGACTCATTTGGTGCCTAAACAAAGATCATTGTTGGATAATTATCCATGCTTAATTTGTATACAAAGCCGCTCATTATGTAGAAGTTTAACCCTCGTTAGGTAAGTGTAAAAACATTTGTTTAATGTATAAATACTTAAAATCTGATCGGACATGTTTGTAATATTTTTTTAAACGATCAGTGATTTAAGTTTAGGTGTGTGTTTAAAATAATAAAAATAAAAAAATGATACATTTTGAGAGTTGGGTGGGTCACTGTGGCGCGTGTACTCGAAGCATAAATAGTAACGACTGAATTTTAAAAAATACGCACATACAATTGTAAGATTAATAGGCTCCTACGCCCTAACTCTACTTATAAACAAAAAATATTAAAAAAACATTAAATTATATCCAATTATCAATCATTTTATTAGAACATTAGTCATCAGGGATAAGTGTCTTATATTATTGTATAGTTATATATAATATGAGTGTTAACAGTTTATTATGGTTTCTTTATCGAGTAAAAAATAATGTAAAAAGTAAAAATAATCTCACCTAAAATAATAATCTTAATAATATTTGTACTAATTAATGGTATATGATTGATAGCAAAATTTGTAGTACAAACATATATTATACTTATTCGAAAAAACAAGAAGCACAGAATGTTATTTGATTGAATTCAAATGAAGTATAGAGTAATTTTTTGTCATAATTATATGTTCTTACTATAATTTAAATATTATCTAAACGCATATTGCCATCGTTGTAGGTAACTGCTTATAACACAAGTGTACCTACACGTCCTACATTAGGACAACAAAGCACTATAAGTATGCAACAGCATTTTAACACTTTCATAATTGTACTCAACTTTATGTCATTTGAAAATTTATATTTATATATTATTTACATGCATATTTGTTTTACTGAATGTTTATGATAAATATTATGTGAATACCTACCTAACATCATTTACCTATTTGTCTTATTAAATCATCAATACAAATAAAAGTAAAAATCATGAACATTACCTATTCATAATTATTATTATAATAAATACAGAACTATATTCATTTTGAAAACGTGGTATTTCGGAAGAGTTAAGTACATGAATACCGGTAGAGGTAAATATAGGCTGTAGTCACGTTTCTAACTTTGGTGCGTTTAGTATGTAATAGTGTTACAAATTTGTAATATTACGCATTTATGGTAATAATAAAAAATAAGCACTGTGATAACTATTTTATTATAATAATGATAGTGATAATAAACAGACTATTATTAATTGTTGCAATACTAAATTGTCGGTAAGTGTTTTGTGTTTAGTTAACAAATAGTCTACAACTTTAAAAAAATATATGATTATAAAATCTATGGGAACAATTTTTTTAAATGTTCATTGACATTGAAAATGATAACGAAAATGTACAGATATATTTGTTTATGTTCTAATAATTCATAATTCTATGTATATTCTATACTAATCATTATTACTCCGGGTTCTATTATTACCTAACATTTTAGAACACTTTAGAATCAAATCATCTGTTCTACTTACCTACCTACATAGTTGTTATTCTTAATTTTGTAAAATAACAATATTTCTGATTGCAATAAAATCTAGAATTTATTTCTTATTAGAATAGAAATCACACCAGTAATTTTATGATATACTACTGTACACTATCAAATCGATTCAATTATACTTATAACAAAATTACTGTCGAAAGGTGAAGAGTATGGGTCTTTTAATTTGTGTGTAGGAGTATTGGAGAACATTGAACGTTTTGGAAAATTGACAATAACAACTTTGAAGGTGGGAAACATTAATACCTATAGTTAAAAATACATTTTTTAAAGCAATCAGAATAGGTCCTATATCAACTTGTGTGATATAAAATATAAGCACTAGACAGTAAATCACTTAAACTCAGATTTTATAAAAAAAAACATGACACGTTTAAAACAACATCAATTGGTCTTGAAATTTGTAAGTAAATTATTTAGATTCTTTAAGAACATAATTTTAAGATGTAGGTATTGAGTACAATTCAGAACCGGTTAAATATTATTTTAACAAATAAAAATACTAGTTTTTAAAATTTTTTATTTGAATTAAGCCTCGGCAACTATGGCCATTAGCAACAAAGAGTTTAACTCTAAATTATTTACATGATATAAAAAACTAATTATTACAGTCTGAATATTGAAATATATGATATATTATGTTAAACATTTTTGTTTTCCAAATGCCGTTGATGTGCAATTTACTGAATAACGACATCGAGAATAGTGTTATTCGACATTTACAATAGGTAGTGCTATTCCTTGTACTGTCAATCTTCTATATGTATAAATATTAATGTACATCGTAGACTTGAAAACTCGTAACTACTAAGCCAATTGACATCAAATTTTACACACATATACCTCGAGACCCAGGGAGTTCCCTAGCTTCAACCCCTATAGGTTATCATAGGGTGTCTCACAATGTGAGCCCCAAACATAAATGTTGTTGTGGATCATTAAAATTGAACATTTTTTTTATTTATAAACAAGATTCGCAACACAAAACATCAATAGATTACGTTGCTATGAATTTTTTTTTAACAAAATAATATAATGTATAACGAATTGTTTGTTATTCAAATGTAGGTAGATACATCAAAAGGCAAAAGACTCAAAAATAACTCGACCGATATTAACTCCATATTAAAACATCATTTTTAGAGATATACTAAAAATATAGAAAACATTCTAGAATCTTAGAAGACAGATTGATTGAATTAGTTTAAAAAGCGATGTACTCCGATGCCGATTTACACGTGGACTTATTATGTAGGTTAGGTTAACTAAAACCGAGATAAACTGATACAACGCCATATTTTATGTTTGTTCATTTTTCTAGTGCGAAGTCCGGTTATATAGCTAGTTGTATAATACAATGTCAACTGAAACTAAATTCGATATAAATGATATTTAAGTACTTAGGTATGATAAACAAAATATATTACTGTGACCATTAGTCAGAGATCTGAACTTTGTCATAAATCTACTTGGGTAATTTACGGTATTAACTGATAACCGATAACTTTATAGTAAAATTATGTTGAAGATACGTTCAGATACATAAGTTATACAAGGTAATAATCATTTGAAAACGATTAACATTGTAAATTAAAAATAAATTACAAATATTGTTAAGGTTGAACTTAATTTTGGTGTAGAATAATAATTTCACTAAATTATTATAGTATTCATAGTGCACGTATTTCAGTTCGAACATAGAAAATTTTAAATAAAGCAACATTAAAGTTGAACTTTCCAATGTATTTTGTTTTGTTCTCTATCCAGATGGAATCGTCAGTAACAAACGTGTAACATTTACTCGTACATATTATTTTGACAATTTATTAAGTATTGAGGTACTTGACTTATAATACTCAATACTTAATAATATGTATTATCTATATTGGTAATTTATTTTAGTGTGGTACGATATTTTTAATATTATGGCAATGTTGACAATTTATTATTTAATGCATTTTTTGAACAATATTTATAATTTAGTGTTTCTATAGTTTTCAAATATTTTATGATGTTCATTATTGTTAGTATGGTTAGTTACAACTTATACTATTTTGTTATTAGTTTAAAAAATACAAATTTTAACATTATTGTTTATGACAATTTGTTTAATCTTAATAATAAATACTATGAGTAGTTAATACTAAATATTCTGTCAATATGGATTCTATTAGATTTTTTCCATTTGTATTAAGCCATTTGATGTTCTAATGGATGGAAAAGACAGGTGTCAAGAGTAACTAAAGCAATGTTTTAATAGGATTATCACTATAGGTCCGTTCTAACGGCACTCATTGGATCTTGACTGTCAGAATAGGTTACGTGCTTTAAACAAATGTTGAAAAATGTCTAAAGTTCAAATGAAATAATGTGATTTTATTGGTTTAATAATTTTCAAGGCGTGTATATTTATTATCCATAGACCATAAGCTCAATAATCACCATCTATAAATCAATGATGTTAACACTTTTAGCTTATCTCGTTTCATAGTATTTGCTGTCTACAAATTTTAAAATGTCTTGTCCCGTATTCTCTTTTAAATAACTATATAGGTAATTAATTTGTGATATTTATTCAGTAAAAGATTTTTTGAAAATCAATCTTTGATGTTGCAATGATATTGATGATGCAAAATATATTTAATATTTTTGCAATTTATTTAAAATAAATGTATTTTCATTTAATGTCATGTGGTAATATAGTTTCTCTTGATTTATAAATAATACCATAAATAATGTGAAATGGGTATAATACATACTGTAATTCATAATGTAGATCTAAAATGTTTTGAACATCATACATGGTAGTTACAACATTATGTCATGACTCATAGCTAAGGTTCATTACTTATTCTGAAGCAAACTCTATTAAATTTTACTTTAATATACTCTACTGGCTTACTATTTTTTGTAAATATAAATTAAAAGAAAACCATATTCATATTTGTATTACATAGAAAACTAAGCTGCTATTTCAAGCGGAAAACACTCAAGTTTATTCTTTAGAATTGGAAAGAACTTAATCCCACTTTTGTAAATGTATAATTATTTTTCGAGTCATTACAGTATTAAATTAAAAATAAACGTTAATTTAAAAAATATTTGAATTATTACAAAATGGTATTTAGATTAAGATAAATCATTTTTACGTATCTTAAAACTAACAAGTACTTTTTTGAAATTGTATCCATAGAAAGAAAAAACGACATTTGTAATATTTCACTGTTTAAAAATAAAACTAATAAATTAAAGTCCCAAACTTGCCGATATATTCCATACTTCAAATAAATTACATGAAGATTTTCTGGAATAATATTTGCTTTTGGCAATGATTAGGCACATTAGGTTTTGACAATGATTGACAATTGTGAAACTACGGTAATCTATTATAAATTATAAATTATAATACTATATATTTAAAAGGTGATTCGTCTATCTTACATTCATTATTCTTTAATTATAAATGTATTAAACATTAAGTATATTTAAGGAACATATTTTCATATAGCCAGATTTTTGTAACCTA